ACGGAGTAATTACGCACGATGCTCTTTGATGATAAAATTTAGTCTAAAAGGGATTAAAGCTACACGGCTCCAGATGAGCCAACACAGAGAATCAAACTTGAGAAAATGTATTTGATAAAAGTAAAAAGATTCAAGTAATAATCTACAATTTATGTGCGACTAATTACTGATTTTTCTGGATTTAAATGGATATTCATTCAAGTTAATTACAAAAATATATGATCTTATATACTAAAATCACTCTAAACTGACATTTTTGAAAGGCCCAGCATGAATTTCTGTATAAATTCTATATAGTTTTGGTTTGAAGCGTAAATATGTATATACGTTGAACGAAATTTTAATGCCGACAGAAACACCGAGTAGTTTTAAAACGAGTCATGTGACAAGTAATGTTTTATAATAAAAGTCATGTGTCAAGTAATGTTTTATAATAAAAGTCATGTGACAAGTAATGTTTTATAATAAAAGTCATGTGACAAGTAATGTTTTATAATAAAAGTCATGTGACAAGTAATGTGTTACAATAACATATTGCGAAAATTGTATGATTGAAAAAAGTCTAAGTCATTCATTTGACATGTTCTATAACGTTTCCCGAGTTCACTGTGATAACTATTGTGAAATCTTAACGCTCTAACCTGACCCACGTAGGTCAAGTTTAAAAACCACCATTTTATTCTTTATCAGGATAAAAATTTATGACTGTCTAACGTATTCAATTTTAGGACATATACATGTATACAGGATAATGAATGAAAAAAACAAACAAACAAAAAACTCGAAGACATTTTGCCTGTATCTCCCTTGTCGTTTGATTTCTTATTTCATATGACAATATTTTACATGTACTTTGTATATATTAAAAAAAATACGAATATTAAAAATGAATTCGTTTGTAGGCATGTTTTTAGCCTGTTAATTTATAGAACAGAACAGTTCTGTTCTATTCTGTTCTGTTCTGTTAATTTATAATTGTTGTTGCATTTAATGTCATGTAATACATTAAATCATAATATTTTATGTAACTAGATTTTCTTTTAAGTCCAGATCCACATTTAATAAATTATATTTTGTCCTTAATAAATTTAAATCTCAAATCAAAGTTGATAACAAAACAACATTGTACAATTATATTATTATCTCCTTACCTTTTAAATATTAGTAATTAATGTAATACAAAAAGACAAAAGACTGATCAGCACTTCACAGTTTGGTTTTATATAAGAAAAGGGGTGTGACTGTTAATTACTAAGAAACAATTATAATAACGTCTAAATTCAGTTATGTTGTTGTTGTTTTAATAATAATTATTATTTTTTTAAATCTTCATTAATTAGGTATAAAAAGTCCACTTACCAGTTTGTTTATATAATTATATATTATCGTGACTTTAAAAAGAATCGTAACAATGCAATCACAGTTTGATATAAATGTTTGAATTTACTCACTATAGCAATTAACAGGAATGTGCTAATTGTTATGTTTTCCATATAAATAGTTTCAGTCCTCTATAATTTTACATTTATATTTTAATTCTCTCACACAAATAAAGCTATTTTATTTTGTGTATATTTCTCTCGGATTCAATACTGAATTTCATACGTAGGTACGTAGGTATATATCACCACTTCGTAATATTTATTAAGATTGACGAATTTCTGTTAGAGACATCGACTCATTTTGCCACATTTACTTAATCTTTTTCCCGAATTAAATAGAAATTTTATTTTGGAAAATTCATATATATGTTTGAAATAAAAGTAATGAATATTGATATTTATGGATTATTTTATTAATATCACGCATGTCATATAGTATTCACCATAGTTATCCTTGGTTCACATAGGTGAGAAAGTTACCGTTATTAAAATAAAAATTAGGCTAAAATGACCGTAATTCTTTTTTTGTACAATAAAGCTATATGGTTCGGGAAATAACATATTCCTGTCTAATAAAGTTTACAGTAAAACACATTTGATACATATTTTGCATCAAAGAAGAGTATTGAATAAAGTCTTTATTATATATCTAATATATCTAACCAATCGGCAATCTGTATTTGTACCTCGTGACCGTCCAATATATTCCCGTATTGGATTAAAAAAAAACTGGATTATTGTTTGGTTTTATTAACCTGTCAATTACATACTGATTACACAGTCGATGCACACAGTATATTAATCTTCGGTAGATTTTCGGTAAGTTCCGTGAGATGTACGCTGTACGATGGAATTTAATTTAATTTGTATCTCTCAACAAAGTGTACTCAGCGTTATAGCGCAATAGGGTAAAGCACGAGCTTATACTCTAAATGCCACACGTGTTTTAAGTTCGAGACCGCGGAGGTCTATGTTTTTATTTTCTTATTAATACTTTCAACAATATTGGAGCTATATATGATTATTTTATGTTGTTCGTTTTGTTTTATTATGTTTTACTTAATTTTGTTATATCTATATTCTTTTTAAATAACATGTTTTAAGAATTCATGTTTAAAATTAAAACGGATTTAAATCAATAAATGTCTTTTCAATGCTGTAAAACACACTACAAACTGTTCCATTAAAATATACGGCAAAAATAAAGACAGAGTACTAAAACAATGGCAACAGCAAGGATCGAACCACAGACCTCTAAATTATCAGGCATTCTCTTAACCGACTGTACTATTGTGAATTAACGAAAACCTTCACATTAAGCTGGCGTGACTTTCAATCCATGACTAATATACTCCACATTAATTCTCGTAAACTACACGGACCAAACCGAAGTGGGATCGAATATTTAAATGAGTTCTATAATGTATGCATAATTGACAGGTCAATAAAATCAGACTATAAAAAAAAATATATTATCATATTGAACGTTTGTGTACATATGCACTAAACGACCGTGCATATATTTTGACGTGACGTCATTTGCGTTATATAAACATTATACTATTGTCAATATTGTAGATCAAATTACGGGTGTCAATATGATCGGATTTACAGTTATATAATTATGATGTTCATTATACAGATATTAATGATAAATTAAGTTGATACAATGTATAATTTGTTTAGGCCATTTTAACTGTCATTTAATTGGACTCACAGTAAATGAAAAATCTATAAAATTAATACTGTAACATATGAAAACTATCCATTATATCAGTCAATTCAAATCAAGCTGTGTACTCGTCCAAATATATTCCCGTATTGTACAGAAAATTGTATGTTATTATAACCTATAATTATTCAAAGATATGATAGCAAGTTCAGTTTCGCCTTAAAAAATAATAATAAATTGCCATTTTCACTGTAACGTTATTATTTTATTTTTCAGTGAGCATGGAAGATTTGATGTCAGATTTCCTGTCAATGGCTGCAGGGAAAGATAATGATGACGATTTTGTTGTAACAATTAGTGACCATGTGAGCGGCATGATTACCGACGAGATAATCCACCGGGAAGTTTCACCTCAGTCCGACGACGACGAGGTTTCTACTGCTATTTGTTCAGATGACTACACTAGCAACACTGATACAGAAAATGACTATCCGAGTTATGAGTGTCTATATGGGGGTCAAGGTTACTCATCCTCTCCAACCTACATCCGAAGTGATTTCTACAGTGTCTCACCGGCACCGCCTCCAACTGTACAGATAACCACCGCAGACGACAATTTGAAATCAAAGCGCCACCTACCGTTTTCTATCGATTCTATTATTGGTACTGAGAGCAGCAATTGTGAAGAATCTAGCGGACGTTCTGACGTACATGTACCTGCTCAGGTTTCCAGTTCTCACTTTTCGGCAGACGACACCATTAATCACCATCCTATGAACGTGTGTGAAAGTGAATCATTGATTAAGTGTGTTTTCTGGTGCCATGTGTGTGACGATGTTTGTTCGGATCTTACGGACGCTTGTATTCATCATGATATTCACAACGCAAACAGAGATCAGTGTCGTCTGCAGGATTCTTACTTCAGCAAGAGTGGTCACGTGACCAAACACGGACTGATAGTAGGCTATGTAGATACAGTGAAATGTGGAGTATGTGAAGAAATAGTGACATACCGTTTTCTACAGAGACATTTACAACGTCATGAAAGTTACGTGCGCGGGAACAGTGGTCATGAGAGTTCAGTTCAGAGAAATCCCGCTATTTACCAGTGCAGTCTCTGCTTCCGGTCCTTCCGTTCTAGGCATGCGCAGACGGTTCATCAACAGGCGCACAACAAAGTGAAACCATGTATGTGTTATGTTCCCGGATGTTATAAGACATTTTCTCAGTTATTAGACTTACAGCTTCACTTGAAATTTCATAGAGGTTATGGTGACATTTGCTGAACATTGTATGAAGAATTGATTACATTCATGTGTTAAACTGTGAATGTATTTAGGAATGAAACGCAGATAATAAAATTTTCAATTTAAATAGTTAGCGCAGAACTTGTTAAAATGTTTGATATGTATTGTTACTTGTATATATGATACGATGAACACTTTTAAAATGCTTGTGTCAAAAGAATAAAGCACAAAAACAACGTTTTATCTAATAAATTTATATTTCTCCACGTCTTTTTTCATCTCTTTTTTATCTTGAAATATAAATGCCTAAATGTCGTTCCCAAAAAAAGAACCAACCAGACCGTGAAATAAGTTAATATGAAAAAGATGTAAATATTAGAACAGTCTGTATGGTCTAACAACTATTCGGAATATCTCAACAATTACCAATGGTTCTTAAAGTGTCGAAAAGTTGCGAATTGTTACATTTTATGGAAACAAATCAGGGACATCGATAGATACACCAACATGATTTCTAGTTTTGTTGTTTAATGTTTCGGGAACAGTTGCAAACCTACACGACTATGGATACAAATGGCACTACTTAGGAAAATGCTATTATTTAACCACACTACAAACTGTTTGTATTGACATTGTGTCGAAGATCATGACGTCACTCTTTCAGAACGTCACTGTTTCCGAACGTCACTGTCTGATAACGTCACTGTAGCACAATACATGCTGATGGTAGTGATAAAACTCACAACACGTCATACAAAAATCTCTTTATTTTTAGATCCCAAAATAACAGCTTACAAAGTACCAAACAAAATTGATTTTATAACATTTTTTTCATTCTAATTACTTTCATATCAACAACATTTTTTTTCTTTCAAATGAACCGCCATAAACCACGCATTTATCATCTATACACATTGACACTGTTCTTTTCTGTTCTATCAAAATGAATTTTAAATGGAGCTGGGAATTAGCTTTTATATTTTATTACAAAAACGTTGTAATTACTTGGCAGACGAACTGTTTATTTCATTATCTTGATAATGAATGAAAACTTGAAACTATATTTTATGAAACATAAATAGTATATATTAACTCTAATATTAAAAAAGGGTGTTTAAACACAAGCCAAATTTTATTTAATACTAGCACGTCATCCATGTATACATACAACACTAAACAACACAAAAAATCCATACTTGATATCAAAACACCATTCCAGTTTTGATGTAATTAACATAATATTTTATCCGTCCTCTAAGATAATTTCAAATTTAGGAATACAATTTTGAAAAAAAAAACACGTCACAATTTGATTTCAGGACGGGGTTATGACGTCATTGCAGTTTTGAAACTTTAAAGTATGTAAAATAAAGAAATATAAATATTTTTTATTATAAGTTTTGTTTGATATCATTGTCTTTATTCTAAATTATTGACAATTTGTGGAGCAAACCACAGCTACCTAGCTTTTGTGACAATTATTGAGTCCCAACTATCCAATAATAAGAGAACTATACTTTATTTTTTTTGGATATATCACAGTAGCCTTTTACAGTACACTATTGTTTAGATTTTACAGCCTTATCGACCAAGAGACTGGTATTTTAATCTGCGGAGCCTCTCCTTTCATCAGAAGATCAAAACTATGATTCGACGACAATGTCGGTGTGGATTTGAGGCAAAAATCGGGTACATTGATATGTGAACAAATATTTTAACTTATTAACGATGGTCAATTTAATAAAATATGATTATTTTGATATATATTGAGCACTGTGTTGATTAAAAATAAACAATACTCCTTCTACATTTTAAAATTGGAATTTGTAAAAACAACTGTTATCTGAAAAAGAAAATACTGGTACCTTTCAAAATAAATCTAACGATTTCACAAAAGCTTAAATCGACATGTGATCTTTTTAATCTTATAACATTAAAAGTTGAAACAGAAAGAAGTATTTAAAAAAGTCCGTGCTCCCAGCATTTGCTGACATGAAAACATACAATATATTGGAACATAAATCGATATATGCGAACTTGAGTCTTTATATTATGGAAGCTGATTAGTGCAATCTTTCTTTTACCGGGTCGGGTCAAAAAGCCATTATGGCACAAACCAGCTCCAATAATCAATCAAAAAGATTATAAATAACGTAAGCAGAAAAGAAATCCGACAAAACTGATGAGTAGAGCCCTCATTGATTCTAGGGTTTCGCCTCCGTTGAACATTCTTTTTGGGTAACATGCAGTGGCGGTCTCTGTGCACGGGTAAATCACGGTGGATATGTAAGCTCTCCAATGACGTACCATGTCAGAGGCGTCACAGCTCATCTCAACTGACGCGCTTATCTCTGCCGCCATGGTGTTTTCTAGTCTAAAAATATAACGTATTAGAATGTAGCATGTAGCAATAATATTCGTCACATATCACGAGATAGGCTCAGGGATCTAAATGCAGACTTCCCTGGAACAGGACCATCTTTATTTTTGATTAACCTGATTTGCATACACATGGTTTTCGGTAACAACCGTCGCAGGAATACATACATGTATATTATTGCCTATTGACAAAAAACTACTACTTTTTTGGCATAAGCAAAACAAATTCAATAATGACAGCTTAGTGTTTGAAATATTAAATGTTGCAAGATGATATGATAATATCATGAAAATAATTATAGGGTGTATATAGGGTGTGATACTTACGCGCACTGAGTCTGTTTATCCAGTGTCCCTGCGATACTACGATTGTGAACGCTGGATGTAAATTTTGACATTGCTGTCGTCACATCCGCTGTGGCAGCGCAACTCAGAATCATGTCTATAATTTTTAAAATTTTGTCAAAATTATTATAACAATTATATAAAACAAGTTGAATTTTATTCTTTCTCATATTTATAATTTTAAATATTTTTTTCAAAGATCGTTAATAATTTGAAAAAAAAGACGATTAGTGTAAAAATCGTTGACAGAGTAGAAACAAAAACACTGACATTACAAAAAGGAAAACTAAACCAAAGCAGCTCAATCGGTTAGAGCGCGAGACTTGTAATCTCGGCATTGTGGCTTTGATTTCCGGGTTGGCCAACTAAATTTACTGATCAGTCTTTCGGATGAGATTTTAAATCGAGGTGTATGAGTGCTTTTAACACTTGGCACGCAAAAGAACCAGGGGATGCTTCAGGAATTTGGACATTTTTTGTACTGTATCTTGCAATATCATCCAAAATCTAAATTAAATTTTTATTAATATTCTCCTGGAGGACTCGCCCATGTGGGCAACCGATGGCGAGTGCAATGTATAAATAAACTCAAATACACACACAGAAGAACGACAATATAAACATAATTTATATTACCAAAGTTGTCAGGAGAACACATGCAATTATAGCCGGCCTCGAATCCTTCTACAGCTGACCCGTACAACGTGGTGACTTGAGGTTCGTAAAGACATCTCGTGATGTGGCTCTTTATGCAGGACTGAATCGTACTTTTAGAGCTAAAATATTGAACAACATGGTAATATTGGTGTCCAGTATAACAAGCTGGTTTTCTAGTGAAATAATAGCTAAAGTGCTCACGATTGAATTATATTTCGATCTTTCATGCCAAAGAAACAAAAGTCAACTGATTTCTTTCGCGGAACGTCATGATCTGTACTTCATAGAGTCATCAAATGACGCCCGAACAATGTTTATTCTTATTCTGAAAAAAGATGCTTATTTTTATGTACTTCCTGTAATAATGTACGATGTTTTACGATATATTGTATTTCTGATACATTTTCTTTCATTTACGGTTCAGGTACTAGTACATCATTCAAGTATAGTTTTGGTATTGTGAAATTCTATATTAATACATAGAGCATGTAATAAATACATTAACCATGATAACTATGGCGACATTTAGTTCTGCCTGCTATTCCATTTAGTAAGATTTTCATCTCATTCGCATTCAGAAATAGTCCGACTACAGTGAAAATTATATTTCATAAATTTAACTAGTGGATTATCAGAATATAATCATCTGATATATTGCAATCATGAAATAAATTACAACGTATCATCAGCAAAACTTACCCGCACATTTCATCAGCATTAGACAGTGTGCTTGGCGTGGGTACCAGTGCATTGTTCACAATTACGCCATTTTTAGCGTAACATTCGATAGAGGCTACGTTAATCTGTGCCAATGTGCACGGGTAATATGTCGTGGCAACGTCAGTGCACGGGAACACTATGGTTGCTAGGTACTGATGCATAACGTTCTTACTTTCCTCAGAACAATGACCTTGCTCCACAGACGCTTCGTAGATTGCCATTATACTATGGAGTAAGGCGTGGACTGGTCTGAAATTAACGTTCAAATATGTTATATGTGACGTCATATAATGATAGAATTTTTAAAAGTAACGATCTCTTCTTACCACTATTTGTTTGATGATGAATATATTGAAATAAATACATTGAATTTATTTTTTGGAAAGTATTTTCTGTAAAATAAAAAAAACGATCTCAGAATAGGTTTCTAATGCTTTGTAAAACAAATGTATTGCTTAAGACATCATACTCGCAGAGGTCGGAAAATGACGCCGAATGTTGGTCCATGGTGTCCACTGAATGTATAAGATCATATACGGCAACGGAGATGTTCTCGGCGTGTTCGTAGGCACACGTCATGTCTATATCTGAAAGTAAAGACTGTGTGTTTAATATGTGAGAATAACCATGTGTAAAGGACTAGATGTTTGAGATTAAAATACTAACTGTATTACAGATTTTTTTAAAAAGTAGAACGATATCATTAACTAAAATATCATTTCAACTAGTAGACCTATTGGAAATGAAAATGGATTTACAAGATTGTCTTTAATATAATAACACAACGACAAAATGGCATGTTTTACAAACACATTTATTGTTTACTCCGTTACTGCACTAAGATGTCGATCTGTCCAGTTTAAGCTGACACTTAAACTCGTTTAATAACATTTTATTATGCTGACCAGAGGCTTGCAAAATAGAGTTTTAGTTATAAATCTACATGGGGTGGTTCCATTTAAATTAGAAATCAGAAAATATAATGATTTCCTGTTTGAAAGACGTATTTATTTATTCTGTTGTCAAGCTGGTTTAAAGGCATATTATACCTCAGAAAGAAGTTTATCATTCTTTAGAAAGAGGAGAAATGAATGTTATATAAGAAATATTGTATTTCATTAATGCAAAAATGCAAAAGAAATGCAAAAAATGGCGTCATAGAAAACCATCGTCCAAAAATCCATACAGCTGTTTTTGTTTTTACATTTTTGATATGGGAACTCTCTTTATTCCCCTTATTGGACAGTATCAATTAAATACAGGGATACTCCATTGCAATAGTTAATGAGATAAAGGATTAACTATATACATGTAACTTACTTTTGTTTGGTTCCTGGCATAATCCGTCGTAAGCTGCAAGAAGCGCGGCACCAGTGGCACCAAATATAACCTTTACCCTTTTATCTGATGTACAAGGTGAAATTACATTGGTGATGCAACTTTTGATGTCCGAAATATGTCGTCTATAAACGATAATGAAAACAATAGATCATACTTTTGAGATTTTTTTCTCATAAATGCTAAGTAAGTAATGCACAAGAAAATGGCGTCATAGAAAATCATCGTTCAAAAATCCATATTTGATCCATATTATAGATCTACACGAAGTAGCAAAGTTCTGCAAAAGTTCAAAAATGGTGGTGTGAAATAAAGATGCCATTACACACTGTTGAGTACAATACTGATTCTATTGGTCCCGCACATAACTGCAAACCCCGTATTGAACTCGCCTAACGCCCCGTCTAGTAAACGTTTGGCAGTCAAATAGAATATAAATCAATGTTGTTCTTGACTATATATAATTACATCTTGCATCACATAACTTCGGCGGGTAATAACGAACATTAATACATTTGTGTAATAACTTTGTGACGTGACGTCGATTCCTTTACGCAAACAGCGTAAAGTCGCGCTAAATGTTAGTGTCAAATAAAAAAAATGCCGATGAGAAAAGAAATTCATTTTTTACTGAAATCCTGTAACTTCATAACTGTTTCTAATGAACTCGTTCTAAACAAAACTTTATTATGCTCGACAGAGGCTTGGGTAGTAGAGTTTTATTCAAGTCGATCAATTTTAAAAGTCAGTTTTAAAGCTACATGGAGTAGTTCCATTCAAATTAAAAATCGGAAAATATATAGGATATTCAAGTTTCTTCTATAATTAATACAGGATTTATTTTCTTCAAGTGGTCTGAAAATAAATATTTCATGAGTGGCAGTAGCCGCGAGTGAAATATGATAATTTTCATTCCACAAGATGAAAATAAATCCTGTATTAATGGAAAAAAAACTTGAATTTTCTGTTTATCATCTTAACCTTATGAATAGGGCAGAATTTCCTTTTAATTTTGTGTATTGGCTGAATTTAGAAGAAAGTAGTCCGGCAATACACCAGTGAAAATTACGGAAATATGTTTCACTGCAGTAAAAAAAAATTTTTTACAGTGAAAATACGAAAAATTAAAATGCGCATTTTATTTCATCAATATCTCTCAATATTTCAATTATAAGTATACTAATAAAATGGTTTCCTGGTTGAACGACGCATTTATTCATTATGTTGTCAAGTTGGTTTAAAGGCATATTATGCCTCAGAAACAAATAAGTTTTACTTTCTTTAGACAGAGAAGAATACGAAATCTTGTAATTCATAAATACAATCTATTACAAAGGAGACAACCCTGGCATGTCTTAATGTTCATATTTATTTTAGTTGTCTCCCTTTTTAAGTCAGGGACCTGTATTGTTACTTTATTATAAAAGTATATTTTATCAAATGTTTGGCAAAAAATATTTGTACTTTTAGACAATGTGCCTGCATCCTGTCGTCTGTGACAGTCAAAGGACTCATGAACCATGTGACAGACTGGCAAAGTAGTTCACATTTATTTAAAAAAATGGGATTCTCTAATTATCTTTGTCATGTCATGTGACTGTCACAGCCACCTTGTCTCAAGGTACATAAACTAATTGCCAAACTTTTTGTGAAACATACTAAAAGATTTTTATAAGTTTACTACTTAATTTCTGTTTCATATTTGTATGGCCCTTCTATACCGTTACGAGCACGCAGTATGGAATATATTATTGCAAAATGGGCTTTTGATTTATTAATGCATATATAAGTATATTGTATGACAATTCCGACTTCTGGAGTTATGTATAAACATATAATTGAATATAGATAGAACTTTCATAGTAAAACTGTTAAGGAAAGGTGAGAACGAGATCAATAACTTCGTTCGTAGATCTGGTAACAGATATTGCGATGATCGATACGCCGCGTGCAACTTTATTATACATGCGCAATAATTCTATCACATTTTCGTTGTTTTTATATTATAAATTACTTAACCTAAAACTTTGCTTTTACTCAGAGTAAATATCATAAAGCTGATTCCAATCTGCTTATTAAAGTATGTATTAAATATAATTTATGAGCCGCGTCATGACAAAACCAACATAATGCGTTTCCGACCAGCATGGATCCAGACCAGCCTGCGCATCCGCGCAGTCTGATCAGGATCTATGCTGTTCGCTATCAGTTTCTCTACGTGTTATAGGGTTTGTAAGCGAACAGCATGGATCTTGATCAGACTGTGCGGATGCGCAGGCTGGTCTGGATCCATGCTGGTCGCAAACCCATTATGTTGGTTTTGTCATGACGCGGCTCATATGTTGAATATTCAGTGTTGGTTGTAAAATTGATTCTCTGTTCAAAGATATTTTATAGTTTAGAATAAGATATTTGTAAATATGCTTTATTCTCTAATTTAGAAAAGGATTCTATTTTTTCTTAGCAATGAACTGTGTTATTTGATGAATATACTTTTTATCTTGTATCGGAACCATACATTTTCTGTTAAATAACCATTTTGTTATGTTCCCAATATTGTACTGTAAAAATGCTTCAATGAAAATAAACGATTAGTTCTGTTCTGTTTGAAACGTCTACAGTTCATGAAACGGTCGCATCTCATAATGATGCAGTGTTGTGGCCACTTATCTTATAAATAACCGCTTGATGTTTTTACTTCTGACACTTGTTGTAGTTCTGATTTTTTTACATGAATAACTTACAAACAGTATGTTAAAAAGAGGCTAAAATTATCAATAGATAAGTCACGGTTGCCAGCTGTTTATGTCTGCTTATTTTCGTTGCTCAAGACGGACACATTTAAATGTGTAATTCTGCTAACAAAATTATATAAAAACATGAATATCTGTGAATACTCTTACCAACAAAGGAGAAGAAAAAAGTAAACTTTCACCCTGCGAACGTGCACATATTAATAAAAAGTTATCAACTTACAGATTGTAGTAACGGGATATCTTTGTCTACACTCGAAAACAAGTCAATAACAGAAAGACCTTTTCTGAACACTAACATAAGACTTGGCAACAGATAGATTAAAGTCATACTTACAAACAAAAGTTAACAACAGACGCTGAGTCATTGAAGACGGGGACCAACGGATCGGTGGCTTCCTGAACCAAACTTTCACGTAGGCACATGCTCGTAGACTGATGAATCTCTTCCGTGCTGCATCGGCCCAAAACAAGATGGCCGCCAAGGAACGCCAACACGATGGCTGTAGAGTGAAAGCGGTACATTTTAAGAAATATTTGAAAAATGAAATATTTGGCTTGTTGCTATTTTACACACAAAACCTTCAACCTAAAACCCACAAAAATTCTACTCTTGTTGGTAAATAAAAATATTTAAAATATAACTGATGCTTACGAAATACACACAATTGACAAATATCATAAGATAGCCTGAAATATTTTATCACGTTCGAAATGAATGAAATAAAAAAATGTGTTATCGTCTACCAACATTTTTTAATTATAATGCTATATATTTGTCCTGACTACTTATACATGTTCATCGTTCAATCTGGACAAAACCATTTATTTTCTTTGGCAAGAACTTCTTAAATATATACTGACGGAACAGCGGACAATGCAGACCATGATCAGGCGGTACAGATGTGCTGTCTGATTTTGGTCTGCACTGGTCACATGGGTAAATTTAGTTGCCGTCTTTAGACTAAAAGTTAACTACAAAAATTCGGACGAATCTACGAGCAGAAATCTTAACTGATCGCTGTAGAACGAAGGTATGTTACAATTACAACAAATAAATAATTCCTTTCATAAAAACAGAAATTATTAAATTAATGACAATATAAAACAGTTCTGTGGCTTAACATAACAAAGTTAAGCGGTCCACATCTCCATGCCCCCTTTTCACGATAATAACATGTGTTTATTATTCGCAGTACAACACTATATGAAATCTGGGACAAAAAAATAACCGGGATGGGTAACTGGAGATTAGCGCCATGCTATGTTTTTGTCCAATCAGGAGTCAGTGCCGCCATATTACAAATTTACTTTCAAAATGGCGGAAATGCTTGACATGGAAATTTATATTTTCATTTTCGTTTTATTTCGGTTATTTTTTTGTCCCATATGAAATACACTGATACTTTAAATGAGAATAAATAATGATAAAACCGAGTTAAAACTCACCGCTCTGAAATAAACATTTCCCCAATGCCATGTTCATCATTTGACTTATCACCAAATTCTTTCTGTTTAACCCTCACTCACTGGTGCTTAAGACACTTGTCAGTATCCAGAAAAAAACGTCTCAAACAAGAAAACAATTAACAACCAACTTGGTGCTAATAGTTGCCATAGAAACAAAGGAATAACAACGAAGGAAAGTTGATGTCTCACACTGGAACCGCGAAACTTCATTAGCAACTGATCAGTACGAAAATTAACGAAACGATCTTAAGGTTTAACATCCATTGTATAGATCGTTCCAGTTCGCCAAACTTCGTCAATCTTCGTACCTAATGCGATAAGTTTTGCTTTTTGTCATAGCGACAGTTTGCTCCTTCCGATATCGATCGGAAAATGAAGATGGATGTGTTATTTTAAGAATATAGACTTTATGATTTACATTTATAAGTTTTCAGTAAAAAGGCATTGAATTTAGGACTCATTCATATGTCTTCAGTGGCTTATTTATACAGGGAATGGGGGCTACCTTAGCTTCCAAACCGATACGAATGCATCGACCGATAAACGATGGTACTCGATTACCTATAACAATCGTTAATATGACTTTAATAAACGTCTTATATAAAACTGCATATTTCCTTCATCCGTAAGTAGATTTGTTAAGGATATGCTCATACAATCCAAGTGTAAATGGTAAGTGAACAGGTAAAACTCAAATTAACTTAACATTTTGCCATAATTGAGTTAAATTTTAGATTTTGCATTGAAACAAAATCAATAATCCATGTGACCGACGGAAATTTCTATAAATATCCGTCAGAATATATTGGTATTGTTTAATTCTTAAAAAGAATGGATGTCTTTTTTACAATTTTGGTTATTTTTGTATTTCATGTATATCCTTAACATTTTTCATTATAGATTATTTGTCAATCACTAATATAATGGTCAATCTTTGGAAAAACATTACTTATTCAATTCAACATGACAGCGAAAAAAATATGTTCATAATGTCAATACAATTTTTTCTGGCAAATAAGACTGTTCCAGAATTACTTTTATTCGCGCAGCAAAAATCGACAAGGAATCGGCGTATATTAACGAAAATATTTAGCAGAAACCGTTATTTTCGTTACTGTTTTGTAGAAATAAAGGTTCTTCCCAAAGCATTTATTCTTGTCTTTGAAATTACATTTGTATAGCTTAGTTTAAAACCCACCCTTTTAACGAAAGCAGTAATGCAAGCAAGTTACTATCGTCATTCATTTTAAATATCTGATGTATATTTGTGTTCGACATTCACAGTTCTTTCTTTGTTGAAATATGTGAATTGTTTGATTATTTTCTTTCTTGTCGTTATTCAAGGTTTTCTTTTTTTTTATAATCTCTGAGTATCTACACTATATACATGTATTAATCACACCATGCAAAATCTTATATACAGTACTCTTAATGCATTTGTATTGTATTATATTGCACAAAAATCACCATAGTCATCCAACATACATTTTGATAGTATATTGAACTCTTGTATGTACTTAATCAAGAAAATGATCAAATTTTATAAAAGAAAATTATTAAAAACCAGACTCGAATCCTAAACCCTCATCATATTGTTCTTGAGGCTTTAATGTCCCATGGTATGTAAATTAACCTAATTAGTGCTAAATTGGAAACCATTTTTTAAAT